GAAATTTAAAATATTTTACGCGGGTAAATGTATCTAATTTAATATAACCTAGCTTTCTGATCATTTCTCTTTTTGGTTCAAACATTTATTTATACTCTAATTTTGTTATATATCTGTATTTTTTTAATACAAATTACATCATGAAGGTTTGGGCAGTGAAAAACTGCAAACATACTAATCAATTAGGCATTCTAAACAAATGAATTGCCAGTGGGAAGGTTTGGTATATCTAAGGGTGGCGACTTACGGTGTATTCTATCTACTTTACATAAAATCATGAATAATGGATAACATTTAAATATTTTATGTCAAACACAATAAAAATAATATTTAAAAAACCCACCTATACATTTCTTCTTAAATTGGCAGGCTTGGCGACTATTACTTCGAATAAAAATAGCGTCCAAGTTGCAAGATTATGTCGCTACCCCCTTAGATATACAAGAATTTCCCACTGTTACCTTATGTTTCACAGGTCGTTGGAATGCCTAATTTTCTAGATGTCATTTTTCTGATGTGACAGCAACTAACGCTCCGATTGGTGACACCAGACTTGTCAAAAATACTCCAGACCAATAGGGAGGAGGCATCGACGTCAACATTATTTTAAAAACCAAAAAAAAAACATAAATTTTGTAATAACCACACTAATGTTGTATTAAAGTGGCTTAAAATCTGAAATTTTTTTAGTTTTCGATGTCATTTTTCACCATGTGACAGCAATCAACATGCTGATTGGTGACCCCAGACTTGTCAAAAATACACCAGACCAATAGGGAAGAGGTGCCGAGGTCATTGAGATTTGAGCCAGAATTTAACATGGGAAGTATAGGGAGTGACAGGCCTGTGACTTTACAGAAGAGAGCGATGTCTGCATTGCAGTACACAATAGGTCTGTTCTGGTTTTGAGAAATAATGATCCACAACTGTCGGGCTCATGCGCAGTAGATAAAAAGTGTTCTGGTTTTTCTGGGACTACTTCGGATCTCTCAGTCCAGTGCCCGGTCCAGTGTTCTGGTTTTGTATCCGAAATAATCCGTGATTGTTGTAAATAATCAAAATGTGTTCATGCTTGGGAATGTGGATCGACTCGGACTGTTTTGACCGCGCATGCGTTTTTTAAGTGTTATGAATATTGTATATTGGCTTTTTAGACCATACGGAACGTATGCAATCCCAAATTGTTTATTTATATGTGGACGAATGTCTTTTGTTCTTGTTTTATTTGTAAATTAAAGCAATTTTAGAATGATTATTTTTTTAATATTATTCTGTTTTTATTTATTCCATTGAAATGTGATGATAATGATAAACATATACATGCAAATGTTATTTGAAGTTGAGCTTTCAAAAGGAACTTCATTATTATAATAAACAATAAACAAAACACCTTTACGTGTTCTGGTTTTCCAACAATTTCAAACAGTCGGGGATTTTTTGCCTTTACGCATACGGTCCGGCGCAGTTTCAAAACAGTTTTCATTTTGAGAACCAGAACAAACCTATTGTAATGTGGCGTAACTTTAAAAGATGGTACATAGCCTACTACGGTACAGACAACGGCCTGCTCTGCACAGTAGTATACTATGGAAATACGCAGTCGGGTCCAGATCAATAAATTTTTGTGTTGAATGTTGTGTGTTGAATTCGACAAAAATATTTGCGGCGCAATTATTTTTTATTGTGATTTTGTCTCGCAAATATGTGCGTTGTGTTGGTGTATCTATTGCGATCCATTTTCGTGCGTCGTGCGTAGCAATAATTTGTGATTGAAATAATAGTACAAACTAAAAAAATATTCAAGTCCACATTAAAACAAGCACTCGGGGGTCGTTCGACGCAAAACTCTTTGAAGTTGGCAGAAAACCGACAGACCTGTGGATAGCGTGTGTTGTACCTGGCGCAAATATTTGCGTGTTTCTTTGTGCGGCGCACAGTCCACATCTAGATATATTTTGACGTACACGAGCAAATTTGCTCCAAATACAACGCACAACGTAAATATTTATTGATCTTGACCCGGCTTAAGGTATTGGAGATGTAGATACTTGGATTTAAAGTCCATCTCTTACCAAACACTTTTTATTTAAACACGAATGGAAATCAGCTTGATTTAACACTAATACATTGTTAACATCGAAATATACTCTTTTTAAATTATTTACAAATACATTTTTCTCGGAAATTTATTAATTTAAGCCATGTTGCTTCATTTACTTTATATTTTTTATAATGGCGGGCACAGCGTTCCTTTACATTACGGAAACCGCATGTGTGTTGTTGACTGGTGGATACGTAGTTACGCGGATGAAGCGGACGAGCGAGCTTGAGGTTAACGTCGTGATTTTTAACCAATGGGGAGTGGATGTTGCTCATGACCTACTCATCTATTAAAGAACTTCGTTATCGGCTGAGATAGGCTACAGGGACACTGTAGTGGTTGTTCGAAAATTAAAAATGCTGAATTTATATTGGATGTAACCTTGAATGTATGTTGAGTGTAGGTAATGTTGGATGTAATTAAACAAATGTATTTACTGTTTTTAATAAATTTACGAATAAATTAAAGATACATTATATTGGAATGGTTTATATCTTCTTGATTCGATGTTATAACGATTATTAAATTTGTTAAGAAAATCAATCCTGTAATCTTAGAGCATGCACGCAGTGAGCGATCACTAGAACCATTCATTATGTTAGGTGAGAGATAATGTACTGACTAAAGGTAATTATTGAGAAGATGCTACTTGTTCGATATTCACTTTGAAACTAGAAAATTAGGCGCTTGATATTGGATGCGATCACTGTCTCAAATATGCCGTCGCGACCAGGTCGCACAGTGCATGCACGCTCATACTGTTCACTGAATATTATTTCATGTTAGGACCAAAGCAGAGCCTAGACGTAATTTTATTGCATTTTGGAGTCTGTCAAATCTGTAATGTAATCTGTGAAGTGGGCCCACAGAGCCTAATGCCTCCCTCGCAAAGAGTTATAAGTCTTCATGACAATACCGAAGCGCTGAATGGGGTAAAATCTTATGTTTCAGAACGTAAGCAAATGGTAAGTGATATTAAGACTTCTCAAGTTTTAGATATAGACTGGGAAGTCCCACAGAATTCAGTGTTAAGTCCCATTTGATTTCTCTTTTATATACAGAACTAAGCTCAACATTGCAAGACCAACTATGAACGCAACCTGTTAATTAAGCAAGAAATATTTTCAACATTGGAAATAAACCCGACCCTGTTTAATGTTTACTGATCGACCCGTCAGGGTCTAAAATAAACTATTTAATGTGCATACTTATAATTACTGCAACGAGCTGCTCGTGAATTATGCTATTTGCTATAAAGACTAGAGATAAGTACTTTTTATCAGATCCATAAGAAATTCGGGGCAAAACATCTTTACATCTTCCCCCCACTATCTGTATTTTTTTTCTGGAGAATTCCCCACAAGTTTGAGGACTAGAGATAAGGAGGTGAATCGGCAGACTCGAAATACAGTCCCAAAAAACGAACGCTTATTGAGCTTTTACGATTCACCGCAGGGGCGCTGGTGTAGCTAGCGTTGTTAGGAATACATGGCTTCTTATCAAAATTTGTCCCTTTTAACGTTAAGCAAAGTTTCGTCTCCATTAATGTCTACTAAAAGTTTATCCAAAGTAGGTATTTTTTTTATAAATAAAACGAATTCACTTTTCTTCGGACTAGTTGTTTTATAGTACCGTCCATTCTAATGGGTTTTCTTTCAGTTGACGTTTTAGGTGCTACTGTAAGCCATCCTTTCGTTGCTTCAAAAGTCTATAAATAGTTGCTTCTACAACTCCGGTCATATTTGATCATTTAGAAACTATACTCCGAACAGTAATATTAATATGTTCATGTACAAAAACATCATGTACATTTAACACTAACATTTTCATATGCACGATTAAAATGCACTTCAATTTTAATTTCACAGGAGTATAATTAGACGTTTGTGCCATTTTTATTAAACAAATTCCCTTGATTAATATTGATTTTTAACGCCTACTATTACAGAACTAAATATTTTGCGTGTTACAATCACAGGACTCTACAAACAGAAATGTAAATCTTAACTAAAACAATTTACAATCTGCATAACACTTTGCCGATTAGAAATGTTAATTATTTCTAAGAAAATTGAGGGCTACTTAAATTGATCTTAAATTGTAAATATTGTCTACCTGTAAAGATTACATACTTACCTTATTTTTGTTACTTAAAATGACTAGAAAATTTAAGACAAGAATTAAAATAAATTTGTATTTTTAAAAATTTATGAAGAAAACCAAAGATTTTATTTTGGAACCAATAATAATAATAATACTCTCCGTAATTCACTCCCTTACGAGTGAATCTCAACCCCTGAAGCCAACAGATTGACTTGTGTAAGGGAAGGGACGGATATTATTATTTGCCATAGCGCTCCGGGGCGACTTAATGATGATTTATGGCGCCATTTGATTTACACGTGAGGAAAATCCGGAAAACCTCACCCACCATTATCGAAAACGGTAACTTATGGCGATTTTTTTAATCTGGATGTCATATCAACAGAAATTTAAATTTCTGCTAATACGGCATCCGTCAAATCCTATAGAGAACCATGCAAATAAATTCAGATGGTCTTCCGTAGGATTCTAAACCCGTGTCTGTTATACCAAAAAATTGGCTCGCAAATGAATGCCGCACCGTAGACACCTACGCTAAACATTTTACTTTAGAAGTTCTCAGTCAATGATTTATGTTATATTGGGGTTTATCTCCTGGGTCATAAAAATTTTGCTATCATTCATTTTCAAATAAAATATAGGCGACGTTTCAGTCTACGAACCGTGTGGACAAAACTGACTACAGACAGGTCCACAAAATGATAAATGCTTTTACCTTTTAAATTACACTTTATTTCTATTAGTTTATTATTTAAATTACAATATTAAATATTACAATGGTAATAGGTAGTCTGTAGTTTATTGTAATATCGTTAATTATTATTAAAATATTTTTTATGTATGTCCTGTCTTAACTGTGACATCAGTGCCGCTATCAAATGAAAAAAGTTTAGCACTCCAATCAGTGAAAGACATATACCTATAGTTACCAACGGCTTCGACCAATCTAAAATTTGATAGATAGTTCCATTGGTTGGGTAAATTAAAAAATAAATTATACTAAATATGATATAAACTAATCCGAACGTAACCGGATAAACTCCATGTGGAATATGCATTGGATGGGCAACAATCAACAGATCTATAAACATCAATAAAGAATTATTTCCATGGACTAAATAATTTAATAAACTGATTGTTTGTTGATAGTCATGCAAAACAGAGAAATAAATAGCAGTGATAAAAAATGCCAAGGACGTTCCTACAATGTTTAACATCCAATAGAGTGGGTAGAGCTTCTCTAATACATTTTCACAAGAACATTTTTTAGCAGATATCATTAAGAATACTAATATGGCTTGAATTGTACAAATCGTATAACCCCAGTTTGTAAAATATTTGAACCATATTGGACCATCGGTTAAAATTGCTTTTATCCATGTTATGATGAATATCAGCATAATTATGGTACGATACAAGAGGTATTTAATAGTGGGTCTATTTTTGTTTGACTGCCATTGACTTGAAATAAATATTGTAGGGTCTTGATGAATGAGGGAAATTTGATTCATCATAAAATGTATCTTCTTACATAAATACAACGCTTTCAATTAATCTTAATCTTTGACTGAAGAACTACTTTTCTTTTTAATTACATTTTATTTTCTTCTTCAGTCGATTCAACGGATTATTTATTTTAACAATAAAGACATTTAAATTATCATTGACATGTTGACGAAAAATGTCAATTACATTAGCGTCTATTTCTTGTGCTCTACAAATGAATCCAGCATTGACCTTCAAACACATACTTTCCTTCAAATGATTTAGCGCGCGCAAAAGTGGCCGTTTCAATAATTTTAGCGATGTTGCCAATTGCTTTTTGTTATTTGTTCTAAATAAATATATTCATGGTAATACCGTTCTATATTATTTTTTGTTTATGAATAATATGACAACTGATATGTTTATTTCTATAAATGTGGAGTTGTCAAACATAGTAAAAGAACGTACATAACAGGAATGACAGTGGCTGTTTTTTCAATAGCTCCAGGCCAGATGATAAAACCAGAATATAAATGTGTTTATTTGAGACTTTTAATTTCAATTATTCAATTTGAGCTATGTCCAGGCCGTTGGAGTCTATGCCGGTCGGCATAGCCAGGTATCGGTTGATATTTTTTGGGGGCGGCGAAGCCGCTACCCTACGACAAGTCATTGCTTCGTTTTTTTGTTGCATATTTATGGACCGGTATGGGCAATCACAATTTTCCATTAACTACTAATTTTGTCACAATCCGGCAACGTTGCAATTATATTTTCCAAATTTGACAGAACACATAAATTAACAAGCACGAACCTCGCTCCGAGCAATTACTAATAGAGGGAGCGTGAAAACGAGTTTGTAGGCGATTGTTGTGTTAGCAACATCTGTAGAGGAAGTGGGGAAGCGGGCACAAGGGGGAAGGTAAACATCCTTCTTGTTCAGTGGCGTATCATTTATCTATAAAAACACACATTGTCCAAACGTTTTAATTGTAAAAAAAAAACTAAAAAATTTGCTAATTTTACTATTTTTAAAATGAATACCGTCATATATATGTCTAATGCAGAAAAAGAAACAAAATCACTGTAAAGGTCTAATTTTTTCAATTGAAGAATAAAACCTTAAAATAAATTTTATTATAAATACAGGAGCGACTAGTTTCGGCCTTACAGGAACATCTTCAGGCCTGTAATACAATAATCTTTAATTATTTTAATAGGTTGGTCACTTACGAATAACATTAAATAGTATAAACCACATAAATGGATCCATATTGTAGCGTTACAGCATTATAGAATTAAAGCTGTGAAAATAAAAGAGCAGTGCAAACGTAACTAAAAATAAGAAAACTGAGTACGGAATATACAAGAGAAGAGGTGAGAATGAGCAATTACGAATGCATTTAAATTGCTCGGGATAACAAATAAAGCTGATAATGTAGTGGTATAGTCCCCATCAAAGAAGGTCTGGATATGTTAAAGAGGACGGCGTTTTCTCTGTAAATCTGGAGAATTTAAGGATGGAGGGAAGACGAATCTTGCTGGCTCAGGTGTAGATGGCTAGAAAAAGGAGCGTGTAGATGAAAGTTCCAGTAAATATCGTCACTTTCGTCTAATTTTTATCCTCACTCAACGTTTCGGCTTTATCTTCGAAATTCATTTTTAAAAGGAAATAAAAGTAATTATTCATACAAGCATATAATAAAACAACATGAATTTATTATATTTAATAAGCTAATAAACGTTTGTTTTAATGAAAAAAACATATATGTGAGTATAAAAAATATATAAATAGATAAGATTAATATCAAAATCAATTTGAAAATACAACAGATAATAAAATGAAATAAATTAATACAAGTACAAATAGAAAGTTAATAACATACCTTCTAAAAGTAACACATTTTAAGTAGATAAATGTTTAAAGAGTTTATTCCTGAACATAACTAATCTAACGTTTTTCCCCTTTTTAATATTATGAGGGTTTTTGTAGTTGAAGTGAAAATTATAATTTATTTTGGTCCTAATAAAAATTTAAACATAGGTTATCAAAGAGTAAAATTCATAATAGAACTTTATAATCTTAAATCGTTATTAAAAATTATTAATGGTAAAACTTCAAACAATAGATTCTTAAACAAATTTCTAGTTTTTGTTTTGCAAAAGACTTTTTTGCCTTCTTCGGTTGCCTCTGCCACTTTTCTTTTAGTAGTTTCGAGGAGAATTTTCCTATGGAAACCAGTAGAACCATCAATTGGTTGGTAAAATTTTGATATTTTGAGTCTGGTAAGTCTTGATAAACTTTCTTCTTAGGAAGCTATAACCTTATGGAGAATAAAAATTTAATGTTAGATCAAAAGCTCTTAATTGAGAATTATATTTGCAAATGCCGTTTTAATATTTTCAAAAGTTCTTGGAATCGTTGTTAACAGAAACCTGCAAAAAAATATATAATTTTATTCCTAAAATATAAGATATCACACAATGCACATTCATATAATATCATTGTGCTAGAAAAATACTAGGTAGTTACTGAGACAATTTAAAAAAAGTATTTCGAGAAACTCAACTTTTAATGTCATCATTGTACTTAACTTTTTTATTACTAAATTATTAATAATGTCATTTTGTGTAGTTCGTTGTGATTTGTATAATATATATTATTAAAACCCATCGTTAATGTTAATGTGCCAAGTTTTTTTTAATAATTATGTCCTTGTTATAGTAAAAACACATTTAAACACATTTTTAAAGTTTTCTGGATTTCTACTTTAAATTATCGTACAATTGAACTGACTAATTGTGTGTTTCAGTAAAGGTATATCTCTCTTTTGTTATAACAGTCTTTGTATATTGTTCTAACTTTTTAGATAATCAGAGAAAACAGTAAGACATCTTAATATATCCTATTTTACCAACAAAAATATAGAATAATTAATCTCACATCAAACGAAAAAAGTAATTTTAGGATGTCCTAATAGGTTTTAACTTAAAACTAAATAAAATGTATATTGCAACTGTGTTTAAATAAATGAATGTTTTTATACCTGACTATAGCACCAGACAAACATTATTTTAGATCATTATGATCTGCATAACTCAAAATAGTCAAAATTCACATTATTTAAGTTGTTCTAGTATTGTTTTAGCATAACGATGTTAACTCCAATAATAAATATTCACATTTTTTTGGGACGTTTTTTAAGGAAATTAAAAAAAAACATGAATAATGTGATATTCTTGTTTAGTTTTGTACTATATAATATAGTTCATTAGGTAGTGATTTAGAAGCAAATTATGTTCTATTTATAGAATAAAAAATCACTCATAATATCTAAATATTTATACCTATTTATATTTTGGGCAGGAAGACTATTTTATGTTTTTGGCTCTGAATACTTTTCTTAAGAATTTTAAAACCTTCCTTAGCTCTTTTGGGATATTCCATGCATATCTTAGAAGTTCATTTAGTTTAAACCTAAAACAAATTAAGTACAAAAAATTAACATTTAAACAATACACAAAATTAGTCTTTTAGATTAGTTAAAAAAAAGTGTCAACAAAAAAATAGCTATGCCTTTTTCCTTAAACATTCTTTTTGAAAGAAACTTAAGTTTCTCTACGTACTTGCTGTTTTAGTATTTTAGTAGCAGATGAATATAGTGTAGAAGTAGTGACAGGATTGATTATTATACTTCTTTTGTCGAAATTGCATTTTTCTTTAATATTTTCCTTCCCTGAGATCTGTAATAAAAATGCATTAGCATAAAAAGTTATTCAGGTGGTCACTTGTTGAATTCCTATATTTTGGAACCATGTATTTCTCATATCAAGAAAAGGAAACCTAAAAAAATTAACAATAAACTTTACAAAGATGTGATATTAAAATAATAATAATTAACCTTTACTATAATCATTATGAGACGGATGAAGACGAACGTAGCTGGAGTGAACTTGCTCTTAATTTTAATTTTTCGATAAGAAAATAAAGAAGTTTAATTGCAAATTAAAGGTGATTGCCTAATGCACCGCCTCTGATAATTAGGTTGTGTCTGTACTTACTTATCATATTATCTTGAAGAAGCATTTTCAACAGGCCTTTTACACATAAAGCATGTTTTCACCATATTATTAGAGATAATAAATCTTAAATATACATTTACAACCTTTACAACGTTATAAATAATAATATTTTCCGTAAAATACAAATAAGAAATTGACATGTGTCAGAAAGTGTCAGAACTGGCGCTCACAGAAAACTTCTGGCGCTGTCAAACTTGGCAACGCTGATTAAATAAGCCAATTACAGAAGAGGTATTTTCCCCCTCGGGGGGAGTAGATGTTGCTAACAAAATTTAGCGCGGGGAAGGGGGGAAGACTCCCTCTAGTAGTAATTGCTCGGAGGAACCTCGCACGAACATTCGATAATGTATTGGAATAGATACGCCTTGTTTACATAAACAATTGTCGTATGATAATAAGGTCCACAATCGCATGCACAACAAACGGTGGTACCAGCAGAGGTTGCCACAGTGTCACTTTCGGTTAAACGTATAAGGATAATAATTATTAGTTCCCAATGTTTCAAGGTTCGAAATACTTAATATGGAGCTTAATATTTAACAGTTCATTTAAGAATCTGGATCATATTCATAAAATTTCTCATTTAATTTTCTTCTGTATTGAATCGGTGTTTAAATTAGATGTTTTTAGATTTTGTTCACTACGATCCATCGGTTTAGCCATTAAATAGTATATTTTAACTGGACATTTGGCAACCCTGTTTCTGTATGTTTTTAAAAATGTCATTCGGTGTTTTATTTTAGTGAAATATTCTTGTTTTATTTATTTATATGAAAGAAATTATTTACAAACGTGATTATACATTTCAAAATAGTAAAGAGATGCATAGTTTTCCGAACATTTTGGACCAGAAACACCCAAAACCAATGCTTTGCTATTTTCACAGGTAGGTTATGTCAAAATCAATCTCATGAAATGTAAATAATGTAGATATCCATGAGCGTAACAACTGTGCTAGGGTTTTTTTGATTTCTTGATATAAAAATACCTAATTGTAGAAACTGGCTATTTTATGGTATATACGTTTAC